GATCTTCGCGGTTAAGTTTTAACTTATTGATTTCATGGTCTTCCTACTGCCACTGTGTTCATTTAAATATGTGTGATTTAATGAGGATATTGTTCAATCGGACCCGCTGGCTTTCTCATCACTATATCATCACGTATAAATAAATACGGCAGCCTGAATAATAAAGATGTGAAGTACAAAAGTTGATTTGGTTCGCGAGAATCATAGAAATGTGGCAGAAACATAGGAAAAACGAAAGACACAAAATAAATAAATAGTAATCGTCTTGGTTGGAATTAAAAAATTAAAGGAATATACAGCTGGCGCGATTAAGAAGAATGTCTTAACACTTAAAAATAAAGCAAAAAGTTGCATTATTATAATGAGTATGTAGAATTATGATCTACTATGATATCAGTACTGCTGTGATAATAGACCTAATCCTAAAGTTGTAGATTTGTCATGATATAACTGCCTAATATATAAGATCTTACGTGGAAGTCACATCATCGTCTATACCAACTCACTGTATCGTAAAAACTACCAATACATGATGAAGAACAAGCTTAGGCTAGAGAAAGAACAATATATTTAATATGAAAAAAAGATATAAGGTAATATTCAACAGGGACCACGCCTGCATGACTGAGCCATGCCATTCGATCAACTCCAATTCATTCAAACTTTCTTCCCGGCTTCTCCATCGTTAGGTCTTTCTCCGCGTTAAATATTGAATATCTATTTCTCAAGTTGTCTCGTGTTAAGCTTTGAGGATTGTGTAGTTCTGGTTCAATGCCACTACAATTAAATGTGCGCAATTCTATTTATATTCACATAAAACTCCTAAAAATATCTTTAACGCCATTTATCTTCACATTTTCAGGGGAAAACATATATTGAGGTTCTAAAACATTAACATATCGGGTATTACTTTAGTAATTTTGTAATATAGGATGACCGTTCATTTTGTATTTGTCAACACATGTTATAGACAGATTGATGGAATAGCGATGGGTTCACCTCTAGGTTTTTTTATTTGCTGATTTGTTCCTTGCGAAAGCAGAAAATGGACTTCTCAAGGAGGTTACTGATAAGCTTGACTTCTAGTTTCGTTACATTGATGATGCGTTCGTGTTAGAGTCGAGTCGCAGTTGACTATGATCACCATTACAGATCGATTACGTGCCAATTACCAGGTTAAATCCCTCCATGACATAAATATTAGGACAGCTGTAAATTGTACTTACGATACACTTGGTGGTGATCTCGTGGTATCGAAACAATGCCGAAATCGTGCCAAAGTTAACAGGCGAGACTGCCGTGCATACGTAAGTGAAAGGTCACAAACTACGGAAAAATTGTTTTTGATACAATTAAACAAAAAGGTTCAGTGAAGCATTCAATAGTACAGTTGGTTACAATAATAAATATTTCCATTGCACCAGTCACGTTTCCTTCATAAACGTAGATCACTACACTTTCATTATCGTCAAAAAGAACATTGGGATAATAAAACTCTTAGAGCTACTTAACAATAACCATCCAGAAATCACATTCATATGTGAAGAGGAGTTTGATAGGAAATTACATTTCCTCAACGTTTTGTTAGTCAGTAAAGAAAGTGATTCTGTCAATAGAAGTGTGTATAGAGGAAGTTCTTCAGCAATCCAGTACACACATTTCTTGAACTTTATAACCGGACATTATAAGAGAAACTTAGTTATATGTCTTGCAAATAGAGCTTCAAAGATGTGCTCAGCTGCTACTATGAAAAGGAACTTATTCATAAAGTATTGATCGACATGGGTTATTCACAAGGTCACTTCAAGATACAAATGAATATGGCAAACGAGTAAGTAGCGACATTAAATGCTGGTAAGAAACCTCTCTACCTGAAGCTACAACTCAACAAATATATAGTTAGTGATGTGCAACAGGATACGCTCACTAGAGCAGTAAAGAAAACGTTTGATGCAGCTAATACTTGTCTATCGTACTCGAATCGAACTATGGCAATTCCTCAACTAAAGGATAAGTTATCTCGTTTTTCCATTTCCATGTGTGTTTACAAATTCAGCTGCCCTTATAGAGGGGTCCATATTAGGTGCACAACCGGAGGGCTGAGCCAACGAGCTAGCGAACGCCATCAAAGCATTGAGCAGCTCTGTCCTATCACGTTCGATCGATAACGGTCACATAGTCGACAAAAGTAATTCATTCAAAGTGATTTATTGTATTCCCACTAGCTTTCATAATAAGGCTCGATGTCGTCTCTTACACATCAGAAACTATAGAAATTCAAGCTAACAAACCAACTACTCGTGTTCATAAGAAATTTGCAACGTCTTCATTTCCTCGTCGTCTAACTTGACCATATCAAAGGATTTTGTTGGCTATTCTGTGCCCTTTTTTTGCCATTTTTTCTTCACTTTTTAAAGATATACGCCTCACTGTCCAATTGTCCAAACACTTCCTATTACGCAAACTTATAATTTTTATAAATTTTATCCCATAGTCCATATTTTTCAAGTCGTCTACCTATTTCCTCCGATGAAACACTGAGTCAGACCTTCGATGTTCTTATCACAACTTGTACACCTGGCATCAACCTGTCAATGTGTACTTTCTACTTATTATTTTTATTAATGTAAGAAATTGCACTGTCATCACTGACTCATAAACTTTCTTGAGTATTCTGACCATGCATAGAATTATTACTTCCTACAGGAGTAAGACAATAGTATATATATATGATGGGAATTTTCGATTGATTGTTTCAGGGTCGATTCCGATATGAGTGGACACCATTTAATAACTTCAAGACCAAAATGGCTATCCGTAGACGATGTTTTGAGTTCCTTTTTTTTAGTTATATGGGAAATATATTTATGATGAAAACATGAATTTTGAGCGAAAGTCTGCTTCTGTAACTTTCATGGCAGGAAAAGCCAGATGCTTAACAAAGGCATTTTCAATCTCAGTTTAGTATTTTATTTGAGAACTGAGTATTATAATGATATGTTCATTTCAAATAGTCTTGAAGAGCTGCCGCGAAGATTATGAACTATGCTAATAATAACTAGGAAACCGCGTTTCTTGTCACTTGGATCATGAGATATGGACCATTCAGCTATCAGGTGACAGAACTATCTTCAGTGCCTTAACGCAAATTCATTTGACTCTACCGAGTCTACTTGTTGGTCTGATAAGGGGCCTATGGAGTCAAAGAGGCCACTTGGATCTTTGAACAAGAAAATAGGTTGACGTATCGATAAGTTGGATAATAACAATTGTTAGTCGATGTAAATGCTACTACTATAAGTGACAGAGAGTATGTAGTTTAAAGAGTGTGGTCTTTGTATTATGGGCTATCACGGAATTATATCAAGAGTTCTTGGAGTCGTGCGGAGTCTCACTGACGACCAGCTCCATACGGTGTTGAGGCCAAACCACTGCCATTAGAAGGGTGTCCAGATATTGAAATTAGCAGTTTTCCATGGTCTAGATGACATCACTAAATAGGGGATGTTTAAAAGGCGATGAATCAAAAATAATTTCTTTATTCCTGAACGTTTACGAACGGCAAAGCTGAAGTTAAATGCTGAGGAGTATCGGTTATTTAAAAAAAGAGTGGTGTCATCTGATATTGATTCAAGACAAAGAATAAAACATGATTCACCAAAACATTTTTGGAGATAAATGTTGGCCAACCAGGTTGAGCTTAAATGCCTTTGAGGTATAAGACACGAGATCTACTTCTTAATCTTTTTATTAACAGCAAACATGTGACAAACTATTACAGAAGTTACATTCATTCTTGCATCGGTTGCTTGAATCTTCCCAGTGATGTTTAAGACTGCAATTGGTCAGTTTTAGACAGGACGAAATGAGCGTCCTGGATCCCATTGTTAGCCTTCATCCATCTCTGCTTATTATTACAGTTGTAATTTCTACCTACGTTGGTTCCTACCTAGCAATGTATGGGCTGTTAATCGTATGGTTAAGGATTTGATGATAATCGCACTCATCACGTAAATCCAATTAGTGTAATCTTAACTAATAACTTCCGTAATAGATCCATACACCATTGTGGTAGACCAAAAATATATCACTTCTAACAATAATGATAGAGCTTTTACGTCAAAAACTAATCCGTTGATAGATCAAGTATAAATTACACACTTAAGACAAGTGTACAGGACGTTACTTAGATTGTCAGGAATCGGTGTGTTCGAGTTCCTGATTGCTTTTGTAATCCACCATTATAAGAAGTTAATAATTTCAATTATAATAGTTATGGTTCGAGATTTATATCCAGATAAGACATACATTGAGAATATAACTGTGATTTGTAGACTTAGAAAATATATCAAACCTCTGTTATCATAACAGCAAGAAATTAAGAACAAGAAACATATACGTGCAACGGTGTCATGATATACGAGGTCCAAAAACGAAATGGAAGATCCAAGCTCATATTTTTTAAACAACCGTTTTAAAGCCAATTATATTAATTGTACCAATTATGAGAGTTAGTGAACGAAATTCACATAGTAACAAAAACTAATTAGGAAATAAGTCTATTTTAACTATCGCTACTCCATGGTACATATCAAGACAACTAAACTAAGGAAGACTTTCGTTGCCAGTGTAAGTAAACTTTCTAAAGAGCTACTGAGATATAACGTTACCAACTATAACTTATATGCTTAAATTCTAATGTATTGCAACAGTGCATTCACGTATGAACATTTACAAACCTAAAAGCGAACAAAAACGTGTAAAGGAACACGAGATAAGAAATCTATGACCTGTCACAAACATCTTCACATGAAATCATGTGATATACCTTCCCCCCATTTATTGAGTAGCTTGAGGTTGTCCATTGGCGCTTAGGGGTTCTCAAGGCCACCGTAGTGTCTTACGAAGGTTATTAGTGGGTTATAATCTCTCCTCAAGTTACAGCATATTTGAAATGGGTTAACAATTATCTGTCATATACAATTTACAATTTAACTTAAATGATCACTGATAACTCCGGAAAATCACATGATGTCCTGCTCTCTAACGAAAAGTTCGATCCGATCGAGTTGGAAAATCGATATGTTCATCAAGTACGTTTATACAAAAACTGTGTTAGTATGTTAAATACATGAAATGTCCTGTAAGTTTGGGTACAAACTTTCTATACATGAAGTAATGCAGAAGATCCAGTACAAGATATTTCCTGGTAAGTTTGAAGCAAGAGATTGCTGGTGTTTGCTTGTCCATTGTCGGAGGGCTACATATACCACTATGCTTATAAGGGTGAGACCATAATTTATGGACGACCTTTAAACAACACCGAAGTAAACCTAAGTGTCTACCTACCCTTTGCTCTTCTTTCTCTACGTTAATGAGTTACCGCTGTTACTTAGATCGTCGACATTATTGTTTGCGGATGATGTAAAAATCTGGAGAACAATAAGAAGTGCGCCTGGATCTTCAAGCTGACTTAGACGAGTTAGTTAGATTGGCTCGAGAGTGGGGCTTAGAAACCAATGCTACTAAGAGTGTACTGATGCATATCGGTCACGGTAATAGTTACCGTTATACTATTGAGGGTAAACCTCTTCCATGCGTTCAAAAACATAAAGACTTAAGAGTAGTATTAAGTCATGATTTAAAAACAACTACGCATTGAAAAGCAACCGCTGTCAAATGTTTTCGTGCGTTATGGTCACTTCGCCGAGCGTTCAAGTCTTTTGACGAGGAAATGTTTCGAATTTTATATCCCACCTATGTAGGACTACATTTAGAGTACTGTATCCAAGCAGCTAGCTCATGTCTGGTAAAGGATACTAACTCCCTTGAGCGTGTCCAGCGTGTGGGAACGAAATTAATGGAGGGTCTTTCTGGACTCCCTTACGATGAGCGTCTAAAATGCCTAAATCTTTTCCCCTTGTCGTATCGTAGGACGCGAGGTGACCTTATACTGGCATTTCGTATCTTTAATTATGATTTGGGTGTTAATGTCTTATCTTTTTGCTCCCTCCAGCACTAATAATCTCCGCGGTCATAGCAAGACGGTTTATAAACCAAGATCTAATAAACTTAAAGGGGGGTCCCGTTTTTCTCATCGAGTAGTCAATCATTGGAACGCCTTACCCGAACAAGTGGTATAAGCTCCATCAGTGAATACTTTCAAGGAGAAGCTGGACCTTCACTGGAAAGCAGTGTGTTAGGATTAATACAGGTTCATCAACCTACTATCCTTATTAATGAAGACTGAAGTCTACTTACTAGTGCTAATTGAGGATTATAAAAGTTCGAAGAATAAGAACTATGATTCACAGTTGATGGTCAGGGTTAGGAATTAGATTTACGGTTTTCCATCACGAACTGACATCAGCTAAAATCCCAAGACTAATGATCCTAAATCTGATTGGTTCCTTCATAAGTTAAATTTTCGCCTATGATGATATCCATCTTCACCATCTTAAACCTGCCATGTGGTAGTTTTTAACCTCGTTTATGTTACTTAAATCGTATTGTTAGAGAAGTCAGTTGGTGCTAATGCAAGTTGGTTTCATAAGGTAACCTGGTTGGCGTCCGCGCAATGACCACAACTGATGGTTGGTTTTGGATGACATGCAACAGAATTGTTTACAATCGTGCAGGTGCATCCACTCTTCACCTCAACTTAACTACATACAATTGGTTAGCATTTCACCACTTATTTCAAACCAAAAATATTCACTTCCTCCACTTTTCTCTTTTTATCACATGTTGAAATTTTTTTTATAAATGTACTCACTACTGCTACTGCTGTATAGAGCTAAAATGTATCGTTTATTTCATCAGAAACTAATGATGCTGTATTAGTAGTTAGATTGATGATAAGATGCTCTTTTATTGTTGCTTACTTTGGTTTGTAAATTACAGACCTTTTACTAAAAGTGTGAGTGATGAAACTCCTATATATATAGTGTGACTCAGGATAAATCCTTAAGCGCAATAAAATACTTTTCAGTCTAGTTTCCTGTGACTCCGTAAGAACTATATGATCTAGCTATTTTTTGTATACTGCTGAAGCGACTCGATGTTGTGGTTTATTCGGTTGTGCGCCGTTACGGCATCTGTCCACTTACATCATTCCACTATTTATGTGCTTGACAGTATCGGAAACGAAGCGTATTAACCGGATCATGTAACAGAATTACAGGTGGAATCCCTGTTTTTCTCTCATGTATACATACCTTAGATTGTGATGTATTTCGCCATATATTGTGAGCAATATTTTTGATAAGTGCCTTCTCAACATGAAGGAGGTTCTTAATTTCGCTTCATTTAATTGTTTTAAATCTCAACATGTATATCTGTTGTCTGGATAGGTATATGATGTGATAGCCTCTGAGTTCAGTTCTACTCGACATTCACCTTGGCCTAGTGTTGTGAAATTTATTGAAGCACAATCACCGGGTAGCCTTGGTGTTGACGTAGGTTGTGGAAATGGAAAATATCTTACTGCATCATCAAAATATTATGCTGCTATGAGAGCTAGCACTTCATCAACTAGTGTACAGTGCAAAAGTATAGTTACCACTTCTAATTTCATTCCTATCGCTGCTATGGAGAGAAGCCCCAAACTAGCAGAGATTGTATATAACAGAGGTAGGGTGTTTTGCCTTGTGTAATTATCTATTGTATCAAGCATCTTATCGTTTTATAGTAAAGGTTTCGCCTAATGTGAATATTACGAGTGCTTTAACAGGTTGTTTATAATAATATACATATAGGTTTCAAAGAATTTATAAAATTATAAGGTTGAATAGTGACTTAGTGGCTTTAAGCCACTAAGTCTTGGGTTGCTGTCCCGCTCCATCTTTTTCATTCTCTGTGGCCGGGTAGTATCATTAGCCCCCACACTTTATCTGGCTCATACTCAATTACCTATTAGATAAGTTAATTCCAGTTTAGAAAATTTCGGTTTTTTTCTAAAAAGAAAATCGGAACTAATTAGCTGATAAGTTGTCTTTGGGGGTTGGTGTATCATTAAATTTCATTAGATTTTATTACTTTTAACGGGAGACTGGTTAACTTCCCAAAATCTGATATCGTGGGTGATTTGGTGTCAGTTTTGTATGTTTGTTCTGCTAATATCAAATTTTGGTGATAAGAATTACTAGATTGCCATATACCGATTTCTTGAAATTCATTGTAGATTTCAATAAATAGTTGTAACAACTTGTTGTTCTCAATGAAGTTTAATAGGGTGTTGTGAGTCGTTCCAGTTTTCTAAAATTATTGACTCGGTAGTTTCAAAGTAGCTATCAATAGAACAATTTGATGGTTTCTGAAATATTCACAACTTAGCTAAATGCTTTGTTTCAAGAGCATTTATTATATAATCTCGGATTATTCAGAAAAGCATTTGATCATATACAACGGAGAATGACACATTTTTGCACCAGTTTGAACAGCCACATTACACCGACTCAACGAGACCTCAGAGTAGTGGAGGTAGTGATAACATCAGTTGTAATAAGAAAGATTAAGCATAGATAATATGATTTGAGATGAAAATATAAATTCTTGGACTAAAAATATGTAGAATAAATTTAAAATCCAGAGGATAAAGAATGAATACGTGTGCGCCATTGCAACTGATTCTGAACGTTTCCAACCATTAGTTACGATAGTTATTCTGAACTCAATCAGGCATTCCACATCTACCACCATGACTCAGTTCATAAACTGACATCACTTTCCTGTTTGGCCATCTATAGCTTACTCTAAACCCATTTCTACACAGGCGAACATTGTGCGCCGAGTGTTTTTGCAAATTAAAACTTTATTTGACCATACTCATAATAACCCGATTTATCAACCTTGGTCCTGTTCTGCTCTAAACGTTGTATGAGTATTAATAAAACGTACTTTCTAGAAAATCAATTTGTGTTTATGTAAACAAAGATAATGAAGACGATCAATCTGTTCAATATCATGCGTCCTCCAGTCGCATCAGATTATATTCAGCTCATTATTCTTGCTTGCCATTGTTTATTCCAGATTGGATAATTTTGATTGGTGAAATTTTACTCACCTGTAAAATATTTTATTTATTTCAACACATAGATATTGGTACAAAGAGGCACAAAATACATATGCACCACACAAATCTCATTCGATATGTGTGAGGGCTGTGGTACTGCCCGGGTGCCCAGACCGAAGCAGATGGTTTCCTTAGGGGGCCACACCCCGAGCCTTCGACCTGAGGGTCTGATCCACAAGGCACTGGAGCATCGTAAGGAGATGCAGTCCCATGAAAGCCGGTGACCAACAATTGGTTCATACGCCATTTGTTCCCGCAGGATACTGGAGCCCATGTGCACCATTGGTTTGGGATCCGGTTAAAGCGCAAGACATTCGCTTTTCGTCCTCTCATTTTCGTAAACAACACCCTTGCCACGAGAAGGCATTGAGTAGGACTTCCCTGGCAGAGGCTATGTACGCGTGGCCATGTGAGAGCATTTCGAGAGGGAGAGCGGACTCTCCCCGCTCCCGGCCGTACCAGGGCATTTGGGGGCCCTGTGGAATATAACGCATTTCTAACGGTTTCGGCGACCTGATTTTATTTTCGTATATATTTTTTACTTAGAATAGGCGAATCCACCTGTCTTGTTTCTTCATTTTAGTTCTGTGCTCCATAATAAAGTTGATAATCTTTCAGAATCGAAACTAAGTGGATATGTATTCCTCAAAAAAACACAGTCATTTTGAGATTTTCTTGTTGCTCAGTATAGTGGTAGGTCTGTGACGGGATGATTATATTGTAAACATGTAATCAATTCATTTCAATCTTTTAATCACTATTTCTCGTTTATATTCATTATCAATTTTTTTGACTAATTATTTTTGAACTTTTCAGGCTTTGATGTAGTCATAGGTGACATACTACGAATACCTTATTGCTCAGAACGCTTTGATTTTTTTCTATGCATAGCTGTTATTCATCATTTATCCACTATGGCTAGGCGTATAGAAGCAGTTAATGAGTTGGCTCGTATTTTACGCGTTGGAGGTCGAGGGTTAATACAAGTAATTTGCAATTAATGTATTGACATATCCAATAAATACACAAACTAAGGTCATTAAATCTTTATTTTATAACGACCTTGTCGCTACTTTAAGTAGCCTCTGCTATTTCTGACAGTCCAATTGCATCATTTCCGTTTTTGTTGTTCAAACATTCATGTAAACCTTTAAAAGTTTTTTTAGTACTTTATCTTTGTAAATATCCATCAACGTCCCACGGGTTTGCTGGATATATGTTTTAAGTCTCACTGACATATATATATATATATATATGACTTTTAGAGGTCTTATAACAAACCCGATGTCATTCAACATTTCGGTCGGAGTCCAATAGTCTATAATGTAAAAGTCTATCTTTGAATAAACTGCCTGACAACCATCACGAACTTCACTGTATTTTGCAGATGATCTTAAAAATGTGTGTCAGTAGTTCAAATAATCGACTTGTACTCCCAGAGCTATCAGTCAAAAAATACCCAACTGTAAAACAACGTCATCAATCCTACGTAAAAGAAATATAGCTTGATCTTTAAATAAACCTTTCAAAATTTCATAAGTATCTATTTTACAAAATTGTTTTGCTTGCTTTGTTTGACCAGTCGATACTTATCGTTCTCACTTATTTCCTCTTACATACTTCCTTTCAAGGTTTGGGCTAAAGAACAACGTGGTATTTCAAAATCTGAACCGTCATATTACGTTAATCGTAAGACAAAAACTGTTTGTAATGTCAATGATTCTCCAGAATCACTCTCGAAAATCGTCGAAGCTGTCCCTGGTACCTATTTACCTTTACATGTCAATGGTACAGAATTTCAAAATACAGATATGTTAGTTCCTTGGAAGAAAAAAAACTGCAAGGTGACCGATCAGTTGAAAGGTAAATATACTTTGACTAATTTATTCATTTCAACACATAAATATTGGTACAAAAGGGCAACAAGTACATATGAGAATGTGAGAAGATACGAAATGTAAAGTGCGTCTAAGAAAAAAGAGAACAATAATGAAAATAAATTAGTGTATGAGAGTGAAATAATGATAATAATTGGATAGGTAGTTCAGTAAGCGAACGTACAACCAGAAAGAATTCTTCCAGTTACAAAGTGACGTTCATTTTTTATGAAGAAAGTAGGCGAAAGTTACAGCAGTATCGCCACTGGCCTTTATACTGAGGAATGTCTGATAACTTCTTAATCCACTGTGTTGCACCATGTCTGGGACCCCAACCAGGGAGTTGTGAAGGACCAACAGAAGCCATTCCTGTACAGCTTTCTTTCATACCATGACACTATGTCATGCACTAGCCCCCAAATGCTCTGGTACGGCCGAGAGTGGGGAGAGTCCGCTCTCCCTCTCGAAATGCTCTCACATGGCCACGCGTACATAGCCTCTGCCAGGGAAGTTCTACTCACCGCCTTCTCGTGGTGGGGGTGCTGTTTACGAAAATGGGAGGACGAAAAGCGAATGTCCGGACGACATTCGTAGAACATGTCGAAGCCACCAAAATCGGTTTCAAGAAAGGGATACCAGTTGAATTATCGTCGCTGTGCCCGCACACAATGCCAAACCTCTACATTACTGACATGGTGTTACCAGTGTATGTCAGCAATGCTTCGGAAACAACGATGGTCAATGTTATAGCCCAAAGCCGCCAATCAGAAGCAGTGAATTATCGATCGGATCAAGGACGCGTAAAATACGTGCGAGCAGCCTAGAGTCTTGCTTTCCACATAGCTCAGCCATTAAAGTCCAAAACACCAGTCTCAACCTCTGCAATATGATTCATTATATTTCAAACATATTGAGTTTACATACCAATCAAACAGACCACAACGTACCAATAAAATATGAAACAATATTTGTACAAGAATTAGCCAGATGTGGCTGTGAATGAAGGAGGTAGTAATTAATATACTGGGTATAACTCAAGAATGGTAAAATGTATAATAATGGTTTACGGGTGTAAGCATTCAGGAGGGCCATTGCAAGACACCTCCTTGACACAGGACACGAAGTCGATACACTGAAGTCCTTCAAGGTGATTAACAAACAGTCAAACTCCAACCTTTTGAAATTTGCCAAAGCGATAGCAATCAATCGTCTAAAACCAGATCAATTTATACAAAAAGAGATAGTAATAAATCTTTCTTTGCCCTGCTAACATTAAACCCTTTTTTATTTTTTTCATTACGTCATTCATTTTTTCAACTCCTGAAGTTTAAATTATATCATTTATAACTGACTGATTTCAATTCATATCTTTCTTTATTACCATTAATCTATTTTCAGTTACTTCGTTACACAATCATCTAATGTTTGTTAACTCCATGAGTTCTAATCACTATTTCAATGTTTTGGGACTTTCTCTCCCAAACTTCGTTTATTTATCCGAAACAAAATTTTTAATGATCTTATTGAACTCGATCGGAATCTTCCCTACATCATGATACATATTCTCATCTCTAATCACCCTCGTATGTATAAGTATGTCAGTATCTGTAATAACATTGATTTTCAAATAATTTAGGTTGTAAGCAGCTGATGAGAACCTAACGAAATGAAATCAATTCATATTATTCTGCAACGATCTTCGTTCTTGCTCTCTTTAACATTTTATCATTAATGATCAAAATCTATATCTTTCCACCTTTTATCATAAATTGTTTTTTTGCTCCTATTTCATTACCACTGTTATTACTACATTTATTATTTTTCCTCTTACTCATGTTAATTTCCCCCTCTCTCTCTCCCTCTATGTATACATTCTTTATATAGTTGTAATGTCTTGAACTGTTAAACTACTTCAAGCTTGTATCTTTCTCTGTATGTTGATAAACAAATGTTTCATTGTTATATATGATACTAACGTTACACTATGCTATCCAAAAGTCTAACGCAACTGTATAAAAAAGTCAACTACACAGGTTTTCAATATCCCCATTGATTTTCAGCCTCCAACATTGAAGAAAACAAATAAATCATGAAAGTTTATAAGAGCTCCGATATACAACTTAAAATCCATGCGTATTCACGGAAAGACTTTGTATTTTCCTGAGAGTCAGTTACTAAGGTTATACATATAACTTGATGCTTACACTTTGGAGAATTAAATGTTGTGATCTAGAAAACTCTTTTCTTAATTTATTCTGATCGAGTCGTTGGAAAATATAACATTTCTCAATAAATAACTTTACAGAAACACATTTTTTTTTCTTAAAACGTTTGAACAGATAGTCATTTGGTATGAGAAATTTATTACAGCATTAGTAAACATATCAGACATTGTTAGAATAATTGATGTACAAACTCGAAGGTGAGAAGAATTTGATCACATTTTTATTCAAGTAATATTCTGGGTATTATCATATTAGTGTCCGGTAGGTTTCAAAACGGCTTATTATTTGTCATTATCTCGGTTGATATTATTTTAGATCTGTAGATTTATACGTGAATTAGGTGTCTATTTCATACAGTTCATCAGTAGTCTTAAATAATGTAGGTTATATGACATAAATGTTGTATATCACCGCAATTTGCCACAATATATACATTAGTATAGCAAAACGAAGTTAACATAATGCGAAAAGATAGGAGTCTAAATATTACTATTATTAGCGATAATCTTAAGCAAATCAAATATAATTACGAAAAAACAAATGAAATCCAATATAAAAAGCAGTATATAACACTCAAGATGGTAATGAATAAATACAGCTACACTACTTTGGTCGATTGTTGACGCACAACATTAAGATATTTAACAGTAAATAACTATTATTCCGCAAATCTCAGTCAAGAATATCTACGTCTTCGTAGATACACCTTCATCCGACAATTAATTACTTGGTGGTAACTTAGGAATATCAGTAATTTTCTCTTTTTGAATAATCCCAATTTAATATAACAGATAATAAAAATGACAATCGTTTGTATTATTTTTGTTTATCATAGAGTCTAATCAACCATTACCTAATTCCATGTATGGTCGTTATTATCACTTATTTGTTATGGGAGAATTGGATGATCTAATATCAAAAGTACCTTCTCTAAAAATAGACAAATCTTTTTATGAACAAGGAAATTGGGTTGTACATGTAACAAAAGTTGTATGAATGTAAATTTATATATACAATAACAAATTATATTCATTTATATATATATATATATATATATATATATATATATATATATATATATATATATATATATATTGATTACTGCTATGTGAGTGTATTCTTCACTTTCTTGGACTTGTTAATTAACATTTAACGGAATAGTAACATTGAATTTTTGATCCATTTCTGGTGAATTGGAAGGTTTTTCTTAGTTATTTCATTGTATGAAAATCCTAATACAATAGGAGACTAGGTAAAAATGATGCAATAGAAAACCATAAGAGAATCATTGACTTTCGTTCTGAGCCATGACTGATAACGTTTTTAGCCACTAAGGTTGAACCTCGGCTCGGGAGTCGTGACGGACTGATAGATTCTAATCCTAAACAGTTACTTCTAGTACCCCGGTGCTATATCGCCAAGGTGACCACCTCTGCCCTTTCGACGTAGTTGCAGAGCCAGCAAACAATGTGAGATCAGTCTCTGGGATGGCATTCATAAAACATTTTCAATTCGATGAAATGTTTCTTCAAAGATAGTGACCAACAAAATTATCGCTTCACCGAAATAATGAACCCACGTTAGTTAGACCTCCATTAAAAACCTGCAGCCATGATTTTCGTTTCTTTTTAGCATGGGACCCCACAACAGTGCGGATCTACATCTCCGCACACGGAGATCGAGCCCAGGGCCGCACGCGAGCGCTCAACCTATAAATTCGACTCACGCTATTGTACGATCTTTCATTGTTTTCGGTGGGTAGTTGCCTCACAGCCGACATGGTTAAGCTCTACTGGTCTCGGCTTCTCACTAGATCGGAGGTCTTGGGTCCGGTCTCTGCGTTCGGGGACACGGATAAACACCACTGAGAAGTTTCATACTAGGGTGAAACGGCTCTTCTGCACTTCCAGGCTTTCGGTGGTAGTTCAGCCTAGGTTGATATGTGAGTTAAACTATGAAATTCTACGATCCCCACAACCTCACACTGACAATGCTGAGATGTAGTGAATGAGAAAATTAGTTTATTAGTTTGTTGCTGACATCTGATTACGTAAGTGTAGCACATAAGGAGACCATATTAATTGGATGAAATAAAATGGGAGTTCATATAAACGTTTTATAGACATAAATATTAGGCTCATACTTTTGAATTTCGATGTAATGTGAAGGGCAAAATAACGAAGCATAGATCAACTTGAATGGGGATTGATTTATTTGTGGCAATAAATTTGTCTAATTTCCTTTCCCATTGTTCGAAAAATTCATCGAAGTCCCTAGAAATCGACTTCGTCAGTTATCTCCATGTTATCATCTTATCGTTCTAAATTCGATTAATCAATAATCATTCGGATAGTGAATTGTCAATCATAAAGTATAGGAAACCATACGCTTTCGATATTTCCAACATAGGAGATGTCATACGTTTCCTAAAGGTTTCTCAAGTTTCAATAATCTTTAATATTGACCTGTTATCCCACTAGTTCACGTATTTATTAGACAGACCATATGTAATCAGTCAGACTCAATATTATTTGGATGTGGAAGTGAGTCGGTGATACAAGATTATTCATTCTCATTTTTCTGTTAAAGTTTTCCTATCCTTATAGATTCTATAGAATCAACTAAAAACTACATAAATAAACACTATTAACTTATTCTTACCCAAGAACTATACTAGAAAGGAATTAAAAACACACTGTAAGGAAATATATTTTATTAAAAAAAAAGGTTTATTAATATTATCCAATCAAAAAGTTTACAAATTGTAATCAGTTATAATGTAAATCTTTGATAATTCATTATAATTTGTTAATAATATAGGTAATTTTGGATATATTTCATCTTTATTAGGAGGCCATGATTTAATCCATTTAGCATTGATATAATTCATTTTGTTAAATATTTCATTAGATACAGTTGTTAATTGTAAACTAATTACTTTAGTAATTTTTAATAGACTACTTAAATTATACTCTATTTGATTATGAATACGCTTTTTAGTATTTCTATAAATTATTAAACGAATAGAATTGATAATTAATCCATTTTTAAATATTTCTTTGTCTCCTGGCTTTCGAATCTAAGGAATGATTATGACAGTAAGAATACATGTAAGGGAATATATATATATATATATATATATATATATATATATATATATATATATATATATATATATATATATATATATATATATATATATATATATATATATATATATATATATAGGGGGTTATAGTTTCATTTTATTATCAACTTTGTACAGTTTTGTTGTTAAAGTGTTAAGTGATAGCAAGTACTAGTCACTTAATTAGAACGAAAAATAAGTAGGAATTGTTTGAAAACATTTTATTTCTTACAACAAGGCTTGATATTATTGAGATTACGAACTGACGTGAGTTAAACACTAAACATCTGTGTCGTGTCTATATGGAACTCATCAGGGTTAATACTGCTAAAAAATCTGTCCCTTAACATAAATAAACGAAAGAAAATAGCCTAAAAGTGTGAATACATTATTTTGAAATAAGAATAAGGCTATCGTAAGACGATTAATTCATATTTGCTGTATAGCCATATTCTAACAATTTACTATTTCATATACAAATATGCTTTGTTGTGTATGGTCGCGGATTTTCTTGAGAGCGGTTACAACGTTTCTTTTATATCAAAGAATACTATCTTCTAATGCTGACAAGTGTAGAGCATATGAATATTTAACTGGTATTCTATCTCTACATGTATATGATATAGGTCATAGCGTATAAAATCATTTTAATACATTAGATTCTGTATTTAAGTAGCCCTTTATTCATTTTGTTTCATTAGGTATTTGGATTGTTATGATAATAGGAAATAATTAAACAAATTAGTTTGTATGTGTCTGAACAGAAATCTATGCAATACAATGAATTCAGTTTATTCTGGAAATATTGTCGTTCTTGCTTTGTTTAAGATAAAATAACTTAGTGGCCTGTTTAGAATATTATGTCTTGGAATCATTGACAATTGGTATCTGCGTCCCAATTCCATGGATTAAGTTTTATAGGCTATGCTTTGATTTCAGGTATGAGTAGAAAGAGTATCGCGAATGAAATTCATTCGAGTTAATTTTTTTCTGGATTGCTGTCTGTATAATTCTGTTAAACTATTTTATGCAACTTTTCTTCTGATGCCCATGTAATAACTAATCTATTTTGAATAACAGCAATATAACATATCTGTATTGGTTAAGCACAAATAAAAGTCTAGTTCAAAGAGTTTTGTGGAGATGGCTTTAATATGTAGGTTTTATCTGCCACAGATTAATCTCAAGTGAGGTATCACTGAAAACCAGGAATCATTGAAGAGGTGCTTCGTCCCATTATGTGACTCTTCAACAATGTATATCCACAACCCCACAAGGGATTGAACAAACGATAAATATAACCCGTAGGTCAAACTGATTTGCACAAGCTTAACTGAACTAAAATAATTAGCTCACTAGTTACTTCACTTAAAACGCTTTTAAAATTCCATTGAGAAATAGTGTCTGATAGAGTTCAAATATATCGCGAATGAAACAATTGTGATTCGTGGTATCAGATAATCGTTGAGCTATATCTTAAACTAGTTGAAGGTGAGTTTATGCATGTGGAGATCGACCCAGTGACAAACTATTTAGCATAAGACTCCTGGGTTCAATTCTCAATCTGGTTGTAAGTCTTGTACTGAAAAACAAACAAACAGATTCCTAGTCACCTTAAGTTTTCAATGGTACATCAACAGAAATTAATCTATAACGAATATAACCTACAAATATTAATCTTTTAAAATTTACCACATTATAGTTCATAGATTATATGTTATTAAACTCAATACCGTGAATGGAAAACTATTCATTACATATCATCTATCAACTTGAAATAAGATTCTACTTATTCTATACAATAATCAATCTCTATGTTAGTTTACTCTTTTAAAGAGTGTTATTAACCCTAAACTAAAAAGAAAAAAATAATCACCGTAAATTATGTTACTTTTTTTCATAACTTACCGTAGATATTATATGATATTGTTCCATTGAATTATTTAATGTAGAATATAGAATCCAATCAAATAATGATTTAGGATTAATAATAATTGAAGCAGGTAATGTTAAACTAATTAATTTCTTTATATTCCATGAATTTATGAATTGATATAATTGTTTTACAATTAATAATTGATATTTTAACCATATAAATAATTTGTAATTGTTTATTGGGTATTTTTTAATATAATGATGATAATATTTTATACATCGTAAATATGCGTAATACTGAGTTGTCAACAAAAATATAGGTGAAGTATTTTGAATGGACAATGATGATTGTGATGATAATGATGATGATGCCGATGATTTTGATGGTGATGATGATGGTGATGATGATGATGACGGTGATG